GATAGCCTTATAACACGTATTCCCCTCCCCCCTTGTTTGTTTCAGTACTATTTCACTGTCAGCTTCACCCATGAAAACCAAAAGGCGCTCGAGTTACGCACAGAAGACGTAAAGGACTGCGATGAATGGGTGGCTGCGATATCACACGCCAGGTAAAGGCTCTCAACAGAGAAATGTGCAGACATGGCATGTAGAAGTTTAATTAGTCAGTAGCGAGTACTGTAAGTAATCCTGGACTGCTTCGTCTGTAGGGGATGTTGCTATGGTTTCATAAGTGGGGTTAAAATATGAGTAATGACAGAAAAATGCTTTGTTCACAAGAAAAACCTGATTGCTCTGATGTAAGATGAAACTACGTACACTGATGTGAAATGTATCACTCGTTACAATACAAAACTGTGTGTGTGTGTTCATGTGTTACAGTTACAGAAACTTGGCCAACGAGCATGAGACCCTCATGCAGAAGTATCTTCATCTGCTTCAGATTGTGGAGACGGAGAAAACAGTTGCTAAGCAACTTCGACAACAGATAGAAGATGGGGAAATAGAGATTGAAAGGCTTAAGTCAGAGGTAATACTCACTGTGATTCCTTTACGTGGAGGAATAGGGATGTAAACAAATACTAATTCATTAGTCGGTTTTTAGCAGACACAGCTTACACATTTTGAAGTGGTATTCAATCCCCTGTCCCTCGCCAACCAACATTATTTTTGCCTAAACATAATGGCTCTTCTTCTCAGAGTTTTGCCTTGGTTAAATAAATAAAAAAGTCTTGATACTATCAGCTTAATTCATCCTTAACAGTGATAAGATGCCTGCTGTCCATCCCGATGTCCATATATCTGTTTAGAAATCAAAGAAAAAAGATGCTGGTAATAATTTTAGACCTTGGCTAATTATCTTACATCTTTCTTCATTATCTAGGTGATTGATGTCTGTCTAGTATGAAAAGGAGTTGCTAGTCGACAAACCAGCATGGTTTTCCTGATGTAGATGACTTCTCCATTCCTCACCATATTTATTGTGCAGTTCAGGAGGAATCTTGACTGTTTCTGTACAGGTTTAAATGTTACCCATGATTTCGTATTGAAGCCTAAATTGAAGTGAGGTATCTTCTCAAAAGTCCATGCTAATAGGCCTGGAAAGCCTTTTAGATTTTTGTCAGTAGCTTTCTAATTTTGTATCACTTTTATTATTTTGATAATGATAAGAAATCATTTGGCACATCAACATGTATTTTCCCTTTGTTAAACCTTCAGTGGCATTTCCAAAGCCAGCTATTTTATTATTCAATGGGTAGAATAATATGTTATTTTGTATATTTCAATGTATACGTATGAGAAGTAAATAGGAGTTGGAACCAGTTTAACACTGGGGTATAGATGAAAAATAAACAATATTTGATAGAGGTGTGTGGCGCAGTGGATAGAGCCTTGGTGTTGGGATCAGGGGGTCACAATTTTGAACCCCACTGCAGTCAGCATGTCGTTGTGTCCCTGGGCAAGACACTTCACCCCAAATTGCTCCTGTGGGGATTGCCCACAGTATTGAGTATGTAAGTCGCTTTGAATAAAAGTGTCTAACAAGTAACATGTAATGATATCTAAACCGACACAGGTAGCTCTGCATTTATTTTAGCCTTCAGATGGTGGATATTTTACTATTGAAATATCCAAGATTTTGTCCTCTTTGACCAAACCATAATAATCAAGAATAGCAAGATTGTTGTTCCATAGACAAATGTGCGGCAGCCTCTCACGATATCAGTCAGACCTGCTGTAAATAGACTTCCTGAACTGGCACAATAACACTAAATTACCACTTCTTCCCGCAACGCACACTCTGAAATGTATCTGTGTCCCGTTCTCACTTCTCATCCTCAACAAATAACAGCTGAACCAGTGGGGAAATGATGGATTATGCTGATTATTGTTACGTTTCTCTCGTATGTGTATAAAGTAGTGTGAGAGGACAGAAATGGAAGCAGAGAGAAACGTGTTCAGGCCAACCACACTCCACTTTGCATCTCCTCTCAGAAACAATACCTCCAATAGTGCTGTATTCTTCAGATCAAATAGTCATTTTACTTTAATGTGCAAATGTGATGCTTGAAATTAAATGATGTGCTGAATATGCATGAACACGGCTTTATATTGCATCTCTTCTATGAAATGCAATGACAATTAACTCTCTCACGTTCTGCAAAGTAAATGGAGACACTTAGCTTCAAACAGTTCAAGGTGGCTGTAGTCTGTCTATTTTTATTGCCAGCAGCCTGCTTACCTCTTGTCAACATGCAGGACAGTTTGGTACATATTGAATTTAAATTACCAATGTAATTCAATATTGATGCTGAGGTAGCAGCCAAGTGAACACAGCTAGTTTAGTCAGGCTAATGCCTCAGTGTTGACAGTGCTCACAGGTCCTGTCCTGTTGACTCGTCACTTTGTTTACATGCCACTAGAGTAAGTAAGGAGAAGAAGAGCGTGAGTGGGAATGATTAGTCTTTCTGTTGGTTACCAGATCTCTGGACATCTCAAGGACAACGAAAAGATCAACACCAGCCCTGCAACAACCCCCACCGATGACGACTCAGAAATCAAGAAAATCAAAAAGGTACATCACATGATTCAAACCCGTCCCTTTATTTTAAGAGCATCCTAAGATTTTGGGGGAATTAACCACTGCCTTTAAAATGTCAGGTCCAGAGCTTCCTGCGAGGCTGGATCTGCAGGAGGAAGTGGAAGACAATCATCCAAGATTACATCCGCTCACCACACGCAGAGAGCATGAGGAAGAGGAACCAGGTGGTGTTCAGCATGTTGGACTCAGAGGCCGAGTACGTCCAGCAGCTTCACATCCTGGTGAACAACTTCCTGAGGCCGCTCCGCATGGCCGCCAGCTCCAAGAAACCGCCCATCACCCATGATGATGTCAGCAGCATTTTCCTAAACAGGTCTGTTTTTTTTTTCCTACAGAGCACTTCTGCCTTACACACAAAATCATGTTACAGGTATCATGTGAGGTTTTTGGAGGTATTACAGGTTGATGCTCGCTTTGTTTATTTCTTGTGCACGTCTGCTATTCCACTTATTGCCAATTGGTGGCAGTAATTAAAAAAACTCCAAGAAACGTAACATTAGACTGTACCAAGAAACAGCATGAATAGTAGACTGCTAGCTGGCTACATGGACTGATTGATATGGAAAATGTAAAGATTTTAATATAAATCCTTCAAATGTTTTATAAAGAAGGAAACACATTCAATACATAATGATTTCAAGTCTAAGTTTCTAAAGTCTACTTTATCAATGAGTATAGTAATATTTAAAGGTGACATTAAGACTAAATTATGCTTACTTTATTTCAACCTCAGTATAAACAGAATATCTACAGGTATATTACTATAAAGACATTTCATTTCTCACCATGTAAACTGAAATTACAAGATTTGTGTTCATGGCTCCAGATTGAGTTTTGTGTCCATTCTGATAAATCTTTCCAGGAACACAGATAATATAATAAAGACAGTAATCGGCTCCCACCCTCATTGGCCTTTTCAAAATCCACAAATACACTCATCCAGGCACGCTAATTCTCAAAACCTACACACTGCCTGGTGTCAGGATTTTTCTTTATCACTGGAAGATGGCAGAACTATGAACAAACACTCTGCATTTGTTTGAGAAAAAATTAATATCTGTTCTTTCTTTTTTCAGTGAAACTATCATGTTTCTACATCAGATATTCTACCAGGGGCTAAAAGCCAGAATAGCGAGTTGGCCAACATTAGTGCTGGGTAAGAAAAGTTTCAAAAGTTTTAATTACTTTTTCTATAATGTGACCACTGTTCGATGTTGTAACAGTTTGTGGTTATTCATCTCTCTATAGCCGACCTGTTTGACATCCTGCTGCCCATGCTGAACATCTACCAGGAGTTTGTGAGGAACCACCAGTACAGCCTGCAGATCCTCGCTCACTGCAAGCAGAACAGAGACTTTGACAAGCTGCTGAAGCAGTACGAGGCCAAACCCGACTGTGAGGAGAGGACTCTGGAGACCTTCCTCACCTACCCCATGTTCCAGGTGAGCTAATTTGTCTCACTGATATACACAAGCAATAAAGGCAGACCCATTTGTTTGCTGCAGAGCTGCAGCCTGGAGCCAGGTTATGTCATTAATACTAAACTCTCGCAGCCATTCTGGGCCAAGTTCTTCCCTCCATATAGTGTTACCCCCATAATGTTACCCATGGGCCGTATAAATCACCAACTTAGTACTAGTTTGATATAGCTATGCCAATGAAACCCAGTTGTAGCTAAAGCAGTTGGCCACTTTGTTTTTGGCCTATTCNACACACACACACACACACACACACACACACACACACACACACACACACACACACACATACACACACATTGTACACATATGAAAGCAGCTGCTTGATGTCACTTTGATGTGTGTTATGGAGCGGTGGCGTACGATTACTCTACATTACTCAACATTACAAAGGGCAATTTATGTTTGGGGTTCAACATGAGAACAAATAAAAACACCTCTCCTAAAGTCAGAACAAGAACATTCTTCTTCTGAGATGTTTTAGAAATGAAATGCAATGTCTGATTTCTCATAGACACTTGGCGGTAGTGGAATCAAGTTGTGCACAGACATTTACATAATTGATTATTGTTTTGCTAAGAATTTTCGAGTTTAAGTTAATGACACCTTGCCGTTTACGCTTGTTACTTTGACAGGATTAAACTAAATCAACAAATTAACTTCAAATAAATACTTATAAGAAAATATATATAACATGGTTAACTTTGAATGTAAAATGCTGTTTTCACCATCACATCTGTACTTTTAATTTGAAGGACTTGGATTTATAAATCTAATTTTGACAGAAAAGCAATGTAAAATGTTTGGTATCTTCAATGTTAAAGCATGTTCAGTTGTTGGAGTCATGAAACTAAGTATATTTTGTATGTTGTATCCAGAATGGAGTAGTCTCGCTTATAGACTGCACTCTTTTGGAGGACCCTGAGGGGACAGATGATGAGGGTGAGTGTTTTATTCATACAGCAGTTTACAGAGATACGCATCATATGTACTATGTGTGCTAATGTATATCATGTATGATTACTAGTGTACTAATATGTATTAATATTTCATAATAACTATTTAAAAAAGAAGCTCCTGCACAAAATGTAAAATTGACCATTACTTACTGTAGGTATTAGTTTATGTAGATACAATTGAAAAACACTGAAACAAAAAAAAAATCTTATTATACTATTCATGAGAATGTATTTATAGAGAAATGACTTCTAGTTATGTCTTTGTATTTGTTCAAAGCCAAATCAGACAAGAGCGGCCAGGACATGGAGCACCTGGACTTCAAGATTGTGGTGGAGCCAAAGGACAGCCAGTCATTCACAGTCATCCTGGTGGCCTCCTCCAGGCAGGAGAAGTCTGCATGGACCAGTGACATCAGCCAGGCACGTCAACATGCATCAGAGTATCTAGCATTCATACGAGAGGCCGAGCATGTTGGCAGAAAGGCTGCACATTGCAGAACTCACTAACATTTCCTCTGTCCTCTCTGTTTGCTTCTATTGCATCTGTCCCACAGTGCATAGACAACATCCGCTGCAATGGGCTGATGATGAACGCCTTCGAAGACAACTCCAAAGTCACGGTGCCACAGATGATCAAGTAACCCTACATTTTGTATATGCAACTCTTTGCAGCTTCTACTTTTCTCAGAATTCACTTCTAATGTTGTTGTTTTTCTGAACAGGTCAGATTCAAGTCTGTACTGCGATGATGTAGACATTCGCTTCAGCAAGATGATGAACTCCTGCAAGGTGCTACAGATCCGCTACGCCAGCGTCGAGCGCCTGCTGGAGAGACTGACTGACCTCCGTTTCCTCTCCATCGACTTCCTCAACACCTTCCTTCACTCCTATCGCGTGTTTACCACCGCTGATGTGGTGCTAGACAAGCTTATCACCATCTACAAGAAGCCCATCAGTGCCATCCCTGCGAGGTGAGTCATGTGACATGTGGACAGATTTGAATGTTGCTTGTTGACTGCATTAACGAAAAAAGAACATCTTATTTGATATGTTTGGCATGCTTTACACTTTACAATTCTGCATTAAGATAAGATTGTCATGTCATCAATGAGAGGAAGTGCAGTAGCCAAGGAGCATGAAGGTTTAACTGCAGCTACAGAACTAGTTTCCTCCATTTATAGAAATAAGGCTGATATCTTTATTCATGTATTCCTGTTTTACATATAAGGTACATTTTTACAAAGCTTTGTTCAACTGTTGAGTTTTGTTGGTAAATGGAAGCACAGAGATTGAGTAGTAGAGGAAGGCAGGCTTTAGGATGCTACACTATCACGGTGTGTGCGTGTTTGTGTGTGTATTTGTGTGCTCGGTGGTCGAACGCAGTAATTGGGTCCAGTCTTTTACTGCCTGTCTGGGAGTGTCTCAACCGGGCTCTGTCGCTCTATGGCAACCAACCTCGGTGCTGCAGGACCCCACCCTCCCCTCCCTCCCTCTCTCCTTGTCTGCAAAAGATCCATATTGTGAAATATTGACGGAGTGTTCGATGGGGCCAATCTCGCCGCTCCGCAGGCCTACAGCGAGGGCCCCATTGTGGGGTTCAGATCACGGGGAGCCCCCCATGCCCACGCCCTGCAGCATGCTCTCCATGGCGCTTGTCATGTCACTGTGAGACACCTACACTTGGCTGCCTTTGTCAGCAGTGGCCATGCGCACTATCACTCGCTGTGCTATTTATGGGAACCCGTGAGGTCGCCAGGAGGGTGGCAGGGAGTGGGAGAGGTTTTCTGCAACACTGCAGCTTGTATTCTGCTCTAAACCGACGAGACGCGGCTGCAAAGAGACTTCTTGCTGCTGTGCTGACTTGGTTGGCATAAATTATTAAAAAGGTGTTGTGTATTTAGCTGAGCTCTTAAAACAGAGAATGGTTACCAACTATCAAAGAAACATATTCCTGTGTTACTAAATTCAAATGCATATATCCTCCCTTAATGCAGGTCCCTGGAGTTATTCTTTGCCAGCACTCAGAACAGTAAAGTCCTGTATGGAGAGCCTCCCAGCTCCCCCAGGGCAAGCAGGAAGTTCTCCTCCCCTCCTCCTCTCGCTATGACCAAGAATTCATCACCAAATCGCCGGCGCAAGCTGTCCCTCAACATCCCCATCATTACTGGGGGCAAAGCTCTTGACCTGGCTGCCCTCAGCTGCTCCTCAAATGGCTATGCAAGCATGTACTCAACCATGTCACCATTCAGCAAGACCACCTTAGACATCAACAAACTGTACGTGTCCAGCCCTGTCTCCAGCAAAATCCCTGATGAGGGGGAGGACAAGAAGGACAAGGTGGAGGACACCACAGTGAGCAAACAAGGTAAGTCAGGAGGAGCTAATCATCAGCACATAATCCCAATTTTGACTTGCAGGACTCATGTTTTCATTGATCTGTGAAATGGTGTTATGATACAGATCTCTCTGTTCGAGAAGAAGGTGACAACGATCCGAACCAGAGTGATGACGGGGACGCAGAAGCCTCTCCCACCAAGTCACCTACCACCCCGAAAAACATCAAAGGCAAAAACTCAGGTACATTGTGTCCTAAACATGTGTGGTAATGTCATATTCCACTCTTTACACAACCAATCCAATTCACCAGCCAATTGCACTCTTCTTAGAGCCATCTTCACTGTTTTGTTTGACCACAACAACAGGCTAAATTGTATGAACAAAGCTTGTATCTGAAGTAGTCTTTGGTTTGTCAAAAGGCCACAAAGGATGAATTTTGGAATACAAAGGTTTAGATCTCTTTTTATGGTGAAGTTCTTACAATTTCTGGTGCAAAAATATCTTCGAGTGTAAAGCGTTATTCATATCAGATATAAATTGGTCATCATTGGTAATGATCATGTGAGGAAATCCAATGCTTGGCTTCCTTAGGTGTAAGGGAAACTTGTGTCATAGCAACTACATCAGGAGCAAGTTTTCCTGCCACCCCCCAGTAATGAGACAGTTTCACTGGAGCCAAGATTATCTGTACCTTCTAAACCTTCTGACTAAATCACACAATAGGTTTTAAATGAATCTATTGAGTGAATTAAAGCATTATCTGAAAGTGTGAAGCAGTGAATGTCTCACATGGTGCAGGGTTCTTAGCTGCTTCTGATCCGTCTATGTTCCCAGGATTTAAACATAGCAGACTGCAGAGAATCTGTTGATTCCTCTGTTATGCTGATATTTGGTGGCTATATTTAGCTGCAACCATCTTGAATATCAAAGCCTCTTGTAAAGGAAAGTCTGGAGGGGAACTGGTGTGCGGGCCTGTAGTGCCCCCTAGTGGAAGATTTGAAACAAGAAACAGGTCATACTGCAGTAAACAGTCAGTTATATAGTCAGTGACATAAATAATAGTTCACCAACAGCTCTCTGTTCATTTGAGTAGATGATCATCTTTTACAACTCTCCCCAAACTGACCACCATTTTAATTTGCTTATCACCTAAATCTATATCTAGCAAGTTTTCACATGGTTATGTTTCCCCTTCATCTGTTCTTCCCTGTAGAGTTCTCTCTGTTTTCCTACAACAATGGCATGGTGATGTCCTCATGTCGAGAGATGGATAACAACCGCAGTGCCCTGTCTGCCGCCTCCGCCTTCGCTATTGCTACAGCTGGAGCCAATGAGGGCACACCTACCAAGGAAAAATATCGACGGATGTCCCTCGCCAGTACTGGTAAACACAACTATTTACTTTACCATTGCGTCTTAGCTCCAGTTTAGTTGCAGGTTAACATAACCAGGCTCATATCAGATTAATGGATCCATATTTTGTTGTGCATGTATTATATTTCATAGTGATGAAAGCTTCATGTAAAATCTCACTGTATTTGTTGTATGCAGGTTTCCCAACAGACCAGAGAAATGGAGACAAGGAGTTTGTGATCAGACGAGCAGCGACCAACAGAGTCCTGAATGTCCTGAGGCACTGGGTGTCCAAACACTCTCCGGTAAAACTCCCAATCATATGAACAGCTGCTTAATAGTGAAGTATTACATAATTGTAAATACATCTCATAATTTATTTTTAGTAACTTGATTTGCAAAACTAATTTGAATTGCATACAACATTGCATTACTGCCAGTTAGATCAAATAGTACATAATATATATTGCAAACAGAGCTCCTTCTTTGAGGAATGCTGAAATTTACTTATGTTATCAATATCGGGTAAAGAAGTAGTTAGAAAACTGAAAAAAGGATCTGAGAAAAATAAAAATAATAATTGTCTCACTAAAGAGTAGAATTATTTTTAAATAACCTCTTATAAGCAAAACATGTCACAACTTGATGATTTATGACAAATATACCGTTTTTAAGTTTAAAAATGTGCTGTCTGTGCCCTCCAGGATTTTGATAATAACAATGAGCTGAAGACTAAAGCTATTGTGTTCCTGGAGGAAGTGATGCATGACCCTGAGCTGTTGACCCAGGAGAGGAAAGCAGCAGCCAACATCATCAGGTACTGTTTTGTGACTACAATTCATTATGTAATCCCTTCATTGTACTGTTCATACTTCAGAGTTTGACCTTCACTTTTATCGTTTGACAGGACTCTAACTCAGGAAGATCACGGTGACAATCAGATCACCCTTAAAGACGTAACACAACTGGTGAGTGAAGTCAGTAGCTGCTGTTGATAAATGTGGAGCCGTTTTGAGCTGCACGAGGCAAGATATGTAGTCGCACAATGTGGGGTTATGATGGAGTGGAGCACTTTCATGTTAGAGCTGCTTATTTTCGTTATTGATTAACCAGATATTATTTCCTCAATAAAAAGTTAGATCTTAAAGTCCCATGGGAAAACATTCCCAGTTGAGAATAAGGAAGCAGAACACCTAAGGGATTTTTTCCTTGCAAAGTTAATTCATCAACTATTTTCTGTTGCTTGGATTAAGCTCTCATCAACATTAAATAAAAGGTTGAATTGTGCAAATAAAGTAAAATTATATGGTTTTCTATGTCTAATTCTGTACTATGAAAAGTAAAAAATACAACTTTTGTGAACCGTTGCAAAGTACAAAGAATATTTAAGATACGTTTGCTACTCATTATTCTTGTTGTGCATTTAGGAAAAAAGCATCCCGCATGTGCATTTTGATGTTATTTACCAACATCAAATTCATTTTTGAGCATTGTCTGTGATTTACTTGCCTGCCACTTGTGATAAATTGCTCAGTACATTTATAGTTATTTTTGGGCTGTTTCGTTTCCTCCCAGATTGGAGAAGGGAAGGTGGAGGCCATTGAGAGTCACTCTGCGTTGGAGATCGCAGAACAGCTCACTCTGCTGGACCACCTGGTGTTTAAGGTCATCCCATATGAGTGAGTGTCAACACATCTCAGTCGCACGTGTCTGTGGCCAAGAAAAACACACGGACCAATTCAGTGTTTTCCTTTTTGTTCATCTGTCAACAGAGAGTTCTTTGGGCAAGGCTGGATGAAGAATGACAAAAATGAGAAGACGCCGTACATCATGAGAACAACAAAGCACTTCAATGATGTATGTTACAATCAACAAGCCCCTGATACAAATCATACTCTGTAACGTTTAGTGATTGTAAACCATTTGTTTCTCTCTTTGCCTTGCAAGATAAGCAACCTAATTGCCACAGAGATCCTGCGCTGTGACGACGTGGTCACTCGGGTGGTGGTCTTAGAGAAATGGGTGGCTGTGGCGGACATCTGTCGCTGCCTCCACAACTACAACGCCGTGCTGGAGATCACCTCGTCCCTCAACCGCAGCTCTGTCTTCCGCCTCAAGAAGACCTGGCTCAAGGTTTCCAAGCAGGTGTGTATCTTCCCATGTAATGCGCCTTATGATTTTTCCTTATAATGTGCCTAATGTTATCATTAATTGTGTTCTTGACAACCTTTTCTTCCAGACAAAAGCATTGATTGACAAGCTGCAGAAGCTGGTCTCATCAGAAGGGAGGTTCAAAAACCTGAGAGAGGCTTTAAAGAAGTGAGTGAGACACAGTGTTGTTCTGGATCAACAAAGCAAGCGTGCAGTACAAGTGTACACTGTTTTTTTTCTCACCAGTTGTGATCCTCCCTGTGTGCCATATCTGGGGATGTACCTCACCGACCTGGCTTTCATTGAGGAGGGAACGCCGAACTACACCGAAGACAACTTGGTCAACTTCTCAAAGATGAGAATGGTGAGATGTCTAATCACATTAGAGACTTGGCGCAAGGGTGTGTTTTACGGTCAGAATTTCACATCCTTATTCTTTTGTTTTTTCAGATTTCTCACATCATCAGAGAAATCAGGCAGTTTCAGCAAACAGCATACAAGATTGACCTGCAACCAAAGGTAAGTCAATCCTGTTTACATGCAAGCCTTCTACACAGTTTGTAAAGACTATTGTGGCCAGTTCAACTCAAAAAGAGATTTATCGTACTTAGTTTGTTTTATTTAAATACTTTTCAGAGGCCTGAAGGAATAACTCATCCCATAATTACCAAGAAAAAGGCAAACAAATGAACAGAATATGAAATCAGGAACAAATATTATAGCACACAAAATTACATTCATTTGTTCTTACTGAACCATTCTTTTCTTTTCTTTAAAAAGCTGGGTAGTTTTCTTCCACACTATAACAATTATTGTAAAAGGGGGGTAAAATGACTTATTAGTCAACCTGGTCTTTACCTTTAGACATGTGCTACTAGTGATGATATGTCATGTGTAGTCATGTTTTTTCTATTAAAGAGGTCACAAACCAACAAAAATAATAAAACCGACTGATTGAAAATGAACAATATTGGCTTCCTTATCTATTTTGTGATGTTTGAAAATTGTAAAGCTAGATTTCAATACAAGAATATTTCTTAAACACTTTTTTTTTCTGTTGCAGGTAGCCCAGTATCTACTGGATAATAGTTTTGTTCTGGATGAAGAGAGCATGTACGAAGCCTCACTCAGAATTGAGCCCAAAGTGCCGAACTGAAGGGGAAGTTGGTCGTCCACATTATTTTCTCTGTTAATATTACACATCAGTAAACATACACATTACCTTTTGTATAGTTGTACATGTTTAAGATATTTGCTCTTCTGTACAGTAGATGTTTAAGGTTGTTTGACAACACAAAACCTTTCAGTCTATATTTTTTGTTTGTTACAGTTGCCACCTGCTTTTCATTTTATTTTAGGGTATTTTAAGCATAATAACAGAGGTCCCTTTGGTTGTGCACAACTGTGTCTGCTAGTGACCAATGACATTATTTTGCATCATCTCGTAATGTGTTGACTTTGCACTTTCTGGAGCACTCCTGCTGCCAGCTGTTGTTCTCTTTGCTTGAGTTGTATCTATGACTGAGTTTCTCTGCAACCAATGTAGCATTGTAAAAATGTAAGTGCATCAAATCAGGTAAAAGAGCACAGAGAATACAACTGTATTTAAAGATAAGGCACAATGATCAGTGGAGATGACAGCAAGGTACCTGAAGCATTAATGTCTCTGTGCTTCCCAAACCAAAATAACAGGGATTTGTTTTCTTCATTTCTGCTCAGTACTCTAGAGTCAGAGGTTCCCAACCAATCTGTGGCACTGCGGACTGTTTTCATACTGACAGTGTCGTTAGACCAGTGGTTAAACCTAGATACTTATAAAAGTGAGGCTGGTAGGGTTGTTTTTTTGTTTTTCATCATAACATAATGGACCAACTTATTGTTTAACTTGATGATAACGCTAGATGAAAAGTCAGTGGACCACCAAAGTTATTTTTAATTCATCCTAAGTAGTACATAAATACAATGTTTCCTGGCAATCCAACCAACAGTAATTGAGACTTTTCACTAGAAAACAAAAATATGTGCATTTTATGGTGGCACCAGAAAGAAAGTCTAGTGATCACAAAAGACATGAGCCAATAGTTAGTAAAATATCAATCAAAATGAAGTTGAAAGATATCTAAAGCCATGCTACTAGCACGTCTAAAAATCCATATAATGGTGGTGAGTCCATGTTGGGGAAGAAAAATGCAAAACTGATCATTTATTGTTTTTTGCAGCATCAAAACGCTTATTTGTTCCCCAGGGAAGGAATTGGGAACCTCTGCTTTAAGATACATGTCTTCACTAACCTAAAATTAACAAGTTTTTAAGTGTTTTTTTTATTTGTTGTAAAGTGACACACTCTCCATCGAAGCCTTTTGTCACAGATGCCCAAACTCACCTCAATTTACTTATAATCTGTGTGAAAACACACAGTGATAAGGAAAAGTTACATTTCTTTTGATAGCTGTGATTAAAGGTTAAGCATTCATCTTCAGAATTTAGCTTTACACTTAAAATAAACATAAAGTATACAGTACAGTGAGTTCTAACTATGCTCAAATAATTTCATGTTTCTTGGTATTTAGTTTAACTCATAAAAAAAGATCACATGCGGTGGAAAGTGTTGTACCTTCAGGTTTGGCGATACTTGTGTAGAGTAAAGGTTGTTGCTCTTCTGTAATTAAAAGACAATCTGTCCTTTTTGCTGTTCCAGTGATTGTGGGACGTGACTGTATATCACTCTGTTATATGCATTGCTGTTTAAAACTTATGATAAAAATGTATGTGAATGACCTCTGCCTGCAGCATTCAAACACTATTTTTGTAGTAGTATAAGAGAGAGTTACCTGCTCTTTATATGAACATGGGAAAGTATTTTGTACTTTGTTGTTCACCTCACTGAGATGTGATGTATATTTTGTACATGCAACCCTGCATATTTCTCAATGTGGAACCGTGTAATCCTTTCAAAAAAAGAAAGTTGTATCTCAAGCTTAAACATGATACGCTAAAACAGTGTGGTTTTGAAACCATGACTTAGAGGTAGGAGATAACTTCAAAGTGTTTTGCATTGATACTGTAATCCTGTCTATAACCATTTCTGTTAGCAGGAATATAGTAACGTAGTGCTTATTCTGTGAATATTTGTATGTATTTTTACTATGTATGTACAGTACACTTTTGAAGCTCATGTGGCAGGCATGCAACACCTTCACAGACAGAATAATACTATATACTTATACTGTATACACTTATACATGCACATACTCTTATAAGGTATATAAACAAATAAACATTTTGCTGTTAGCAATACCCAGTGGTATGAAAATTATCTTTCAACCCTCATGTTTCCACACCTTAAAAATATTCAGTTTTGTAAGAAAAAAAATGAAAAGACAACAAGAAAATATACATTATGATTATGATAATAACGACAAATATACACAAATATGTTTCCCAGTTACCTCTTGCTAATAAATCCATTTTATATCAGGGGCATTTTGTCTCAAGTGTTTTTGTAGATCATCTCATTTCATTTCAAACCTTTATTTAACGAGATTGGTCCCATTGAGATCATAGATCTCTTTTTCAAGGGAGACCTGCAGCATATAGGTTCCACATGAAACATAAAACAATAAAAGACATCATACATTATATTTACAGGATACATTTACATAGTTAGACATTTACAAGTGCCCATAGTATCAACAAGCATTTCATTTAGCCTAGCTTTAAAAACATGCAGAGGAATGAGATTGCTCAGTTTCAATTCTTGCTGAATATTGTTCCAAGCAAGTGGAGCTGCGCACATAAAAGCTGTCTTACCTAAGACAGTCCTTGCTGTTGGCACATCTAACAATACTACATCATGAGATCTCAGACAATAGCTGCTTGCAACTCTCTGTGTTATCAGAGAGCAGATATAATACGGGAGTTTACCCAATAAAGCTTTATGAATAAACTAGGGCTGTCAGTCGATTCAAATATTTAATCGCATGATTGTCAATAGTTAATCGCGATTAATCACAAATTAATCGCACATTTTTTATCCATTCTAAATATACCTTAGAGGGATATTTTTCAAGTTTTTAAATACTCTTATCAACATATGAGTGGACAAATATGCTTTATGCAAATGTTTGTTTACTATCATTTGAACAATGATAAATATTCTCATGTATATTAAACATAACAACCTCTGAACATTACGAATATTCGCCTCAATTTGTGTGTGTGTGTGTGTGTGTGTCGGCGCAGTTGTCGGCAAAAAGCCACTCCTCTGTTTTCATAACTGTAAAAGCATGAAACTGAAGTTCCCACTGTGGGTCAAAATAATGCGCTGTGACCCCGAGGTGACTGTCATTACTGAGTGAAGTCCAATAGTCTCCGGTGAGCGCAACTGTGGAAGTTTTTCTTAAATCCTCCTCTACTTTCGCTTTTTGGACTTCATACAAGTTGTGTATTTTCGACAAAGTGGTGGCTCTAGAAGGCAATTCATAAGTGCAGCCGTTGGATGCGACCCGAATTATATCACGCAGCCCCTCGTCCTCCACAATGTTAATTGGCCTGCAAGCTGTCGCCACCCATTTAGCGATCTTTGTTGAAAGTTTGCTGCTCGTAGACGTGTCCAGGCTTCTGCCCTGCACACTTTCAAGTCAGGGTTTCCGTTTTCCGTTTTTTAGCTGGTAAAATTGAATAAAAAACGGTAAATTCAAAACCTGCCGGTCAAAATGTCCGATGCTCCGATCGATTGGCCGCCGATCATTATCGGCCGATATTCACTCTTAATAGTTTGATCTGTGCTCTCTATAAAGGCCGATCAGGAGAGCTGGATCTGATCGATATGGACATAAACGCGATTGAAGTGTAACCGGACGTGAGAGAGAGATCAGATCAGCTGCTGCATTATCACCTGAAGCCCCGCCCACTGNCAAATCTCAGTGCGCTGTGATAGGCGGCATCTAACTTGTTCAGGCAATAGGCAGGTGCATTCATATACAACAAATCACCATAGTCCAGCACAGGTAAAAAGGTCACAGTGACTAGCCTTTTCCTGGCCTCAAGCGAGAAACAGGACTTGTTTCTGAAAAAGAAACCTAGTCTAACCCTCAGCTTTTTAAGCAGGTTATTGACATGAAGTTTAAAAGTAAGACAATCATCAAGCCAGATACCAAGGTATTTGTAACAGGTAACCACTTCAAGTACTTGTCCTTGCATAGTAACAATATCTAAAACAGGCTCTTTTTAGCTTTTGAAAATAGCATTACCTTGGTTTTCTGATCATTGAGAAAGAAGAAACAAGAACTGCAAACAAAAACCTATGTTAAAACAAAGAAAAAATACTTATAGTTTACATGATTACACAAATGATTTGTTTGCAACTTATAGTTTTATTTTTGAAATTTATTTTATTTTGCTTGACTCAATTTTTTTCTTCTTTTGAACTCATAGTTTTGCTTTATTCTGAGAAAGTGTTGCTTTATCTTTATGATATAAAACTAATCCCATAGGATCTGTGCTCTGTTAGTGTAATCAACCTTTAGTGTAATCAACCACCATTATGATGATTAAAAAAAAAGAAGCTGTTTTAAATAAGATAGTTACCAAATTCACTAATCACATCAATGGTCTACTGCTGGCCACAAGTGATTTTGTAGCACAACACTGTACTGTATAACACGGAAGATTAATTTTGTTCCCCCAGCTGTCGTTTCAGCATTGCACTTTGTAGAAGGTCCCTGAGCACTC